CGGGGCCGGCGGGCGGCCGGGCGGCGCGGGCCGCCGAGTAGCCGCGGGCGGCGGCGGGGCAGGCGGCCGGCCGCCGGACCCCGAGCCAGACGCGGAGCCGGAGCCCCAGCCCCAGCCCCAGCCCCGGCCCCAGCCTGGGCCCCAGCCCCAGATCCGCGCCGCGCCCGGCGCGCCTAGGAGCGGGCGCCTTCGGATCCGGGAGCCTGGAGTCCCCGCGTCCCCGCAGCCCCCCAAACCCGGACAACTGTTGCGGCGGCGGCGGCGGCAGCGGCGGGGGCATCGCGGGGGCGTGGGCACCCCCACACCCCAGCAGGCGGCTCCCGCGGGCGCCGGCACCCGGCTACGGAGCGAGGAGCGAGCGGGCGGCGGGCACGAGGTGAGCGGCGCCCCGGGCGGGCTGGGCGGGGGCCGCGGGGGGAGGGGCGCACCCGGGCCGGGGTCCGAGCGCGGAGGGGAAAGGGGCCGGGGCGGAGCTCGTGGCGGAGGAGGGTCTGGGCGAGTGGGGGGCGGGGTCTGCGGCGCTGGGCTCCGGAGAAGGGGTGAAGGGTGGGCGCACGGGGAGAAGCGGGCAAGGGGCATGTGACGGGGTCCGGGGTGATTTAGAAAGGGGCCGGGGACGGCCGGGGCAGCGTCTGGGGGCAGGAGCCGTGCGGGACAGCGGGTGTTCCTGCCCTGGGGTCCGCGCCGGCGCTCAGCAATGTCGGGGTCGCTGAACCTTGGACAGGAAGGTCCGGGTTCCCAAGAGCTGTCCAGGGCGCACGGTTTCGGGACGCGGCAGCCGGGACCGGAATCCCGTCCAAGGTGGGGACCGGCTTCCAAGAACCAAGTCCGGGAGCGCAGTGAGCCGGGAGCCCCGTGCTGCTGCACAGGGACCGAGGGCCACGCTGCGGAGCCAGAGGGCCCGGGGTGGGGGGGATCCCACTGGGCAGCGCAGGGAACGGGGAGAAAGACTCCCCCAAGTGCGTGCCCCTTGGTCCTGGCCCGCCGCGTGGCCCCCACGGAACCGCTGTCGCCTCCCGGGGCCGAATCAACGTTGATCCCGCGCTCGGGGCTGGGTGGCCGTGGCGGTGGCCTCGGAAGCTCATTAGTGCCCGCGGTTGTCGTGGCAACGAGACCCCAAGCGTCTCGAGGTTATATTTATTCTAATTATTATTATCATTATTAGTATTAGTATTTGTTACTCAGCCAGAAGAAAAACAGAAACGGGGGAAAATCCAGCGCGTCCTGGCGCCGGCAACTGTTACCTCTTTGGAAAGAGTCAGGATGTGGGCGAACAAGGCCAGGTCTGTCCGCCCCAGGGTCCCCTCGTCTTGCTAGCTGCCCCAGCCTCACCCCTGGGGCCATCGGACAGGGAAGGGGAGTTATGTAATCTGCGGGAGAGCACCTCTGGGCATGCCCCTTTGTGTGTCCCCTACCTCTCTGGGCCTCCTGAGCCTCTGTTCTAAGTGACTGCACCTGCCGAAGGAATCCCAGCCTAGGATGGGAAGATCACATCGTGCTCTGAACAGGGCATGGCTGGGGGTGGCCTCCAGCCCCCTCTCCACTGCTGTGTGACCTTGACCAAGGCTCCTGACGCCTCCTAGCCTGCCTCCTCATCTGGAAGATAGAATGGCAGCCATGCCCATCACCAAAGGCTGCTGTGAGCTCACTCAGAAAAACCCTTGTCGGGTTCCCACTGAGTGCTGATGGTTGTGTGACCCCAGGCAGCTGTCCACATGTCTCTGGACCTCAGTTTCCTAGACTGTAAAATGAGAGCCCTGCTCTGGGCATTGTCTAAGGTGTTTTTGGTCACCAATGTCCTGTGAATCTCGCTGCTGGCTGGCTGTGCCTGAAATACCATCAGGTGCAGCTCTGTTCAGACCCAGGCTGATGGGAAGTCCCTGCGTGCATCACCCTTTGTTTCCTCACCTGATTCTGATTGTCCAAATCTCACTGGGAATCAGGTGGTCCAGGGGTAAGCATTGGGACTTTTCACCTATGGGTAGCCTTCGGCTTCGGTGAGAAATGTCATTCAAAACCAGAATTCAAATAACCTTCAGGTCCTGGTGTCAACCAGGACGATCCCCATGCTGGTCACTGTTGCCTAGAATTGGGGAGTCACTCCCCATCCTCTGAATCTGTGACTGCTCGGTTCAGGACACCTCTCTGCAAGCACCCCATCTCTCCAGAGAGGCTGTCTGCTGTGCCTATCCTGGCAAGAGATGACCAGGAAGTTCTGCAGCCAGGCAGCCCCAGCCCCTCGTGGCTGAAGCTGAAAGCCCCAGGCAGGGGTTTCTGACAGTTTCTTTAATGACATCTTCATGCTGCGTTCCTGGCTCTGTCTCAGGCATCTGGGAGGTACTGGACTGATGAAGGGGGGTGTGGTGAGCAGTTTGGCTTGGAGGGGTGTGTGTGTGTGTGTGTCCCATCCTCGCTCTCCTGAGTCACCCAGCCTGCAGCTTATCAGAGCAGGTGGACCGGAGGAGAGGGGCAGGGGCAAGGCCAGTGCTGCTCCCTCAGACCTTTGTTAGTGGCACAGAAAGGGAGTGGGACCTGCTCAGAGTGAGACCAGCTGAGAGTCACTCCCGGTTACCAGTCATCCATCCATCCATCCCTTCACTCCCCTTCCCGGCCAACTCCTGGAGCCCCCATGCCTACGAAAGGCATCCGCTGCCCTTGGTAGCTCTCTAGGAAGCAGAGGATGAAGTGACTCCGGACAAGCCAGCAGAGCTGGAGGTGTGCCTAGGTCAGGCCACGGGGCAGTGAGCTCCTGAGGGTGGGTAGGTGCACATGCAGGGGGGCACCTGTCCTTTGGAGCCTGGGAGGGGTTGGGGCCGGGGGACCTTGGTCCAGAATGACAGGCACGAATCAGCTGGGGGAAGGGGGAGGAGCTGTTCTGGGCAGAGACCCTCTGTGGGCAGAGATGCAGACACGGCAGGGCGGCAGGCTGAAGCCTTCTGGACCTGCGGGGCTGGGAGGTGGCTTCGGGCCTGGAGGGCAGGGGGGGATGGAGCTCCCTGGAGCAGGGCCCGGGAGGGGACAACCCCACCCCCAGCCTGAGTGAGGGTTTGGGTACAGGACGGGCAGGTTTGGAGCTTAGACAGCTTCTGGGTGGGCTACCCATGCTTGAGGTGAGCAGAAGGAGACACAGTTTGGGCCAAGAAGGTGAATCTGATTTCCAGTTCCCTGGGACAATCAGCCAAGCCCTCCCCAGCCCCACCCCAAAGGCTGCACTGCAGGGGGACTGCCTCACGCCCAGGCCCTGGGCTTCTGGGGTGGGTGGGGGGGCAGTGGCATGCAGACACCAGGTCTGTCCACTTCAGCTGTCTGTGTCCACAATATAGGGCTTCACGGAACAGGCTCCCAGTCGCACCCCCACAGCACGAGGGTTGCACTTGGCAGTGACAGCCCGAAGGCCTGCTCCGAGCCAGGCCCCGTGCGGAGCACACTCGGACCCGGCTTACCACCTAATCCTCATGCCAACCTTGTGAGTGGCAACTGTAGATTCTGTTGTATAGATGAGAAAACAGGCGCAGAGAGGCTAATCGTACAGAAGAGCCCACCAGGACCAGGCTCCCTACTCTGCACCAGGTTGCCTTGTGTGGGGTGGGGATACAGAGGCTCCTAGGACACAGGAGCCACATGGGGGCAGGGGCCCTACAGTCTCACTTCCTAGTCATTAACCGTTTACTTGCCAGCGTGACTGACCCAGAGCCTGGCCTGCCTTATGCTCAGGTGAAAGCTGTCACCTCCCTTCTTAGGGACACTGTGCCTCTGCTAACTCAGTTTCGGGCCAGTTGACTCGTATAACAGATTCACGGGATCTTAGAGCGAACTGAGAGCCCCTTCCTCAGCTCTCCCAACCCACATGCTCTTTCGGAAGTTACTGAAACAATCGTCACCCCCTAAGAATGGGGGGCCTTGTTTCCTAAACACGAAGCAGGCAGGGTTCTGGACACCTAACCAGGATGAGTGAGGAGGGTGACTGGAGGCCCTGCCTACCCTGGTGATACCCTCCCGGGGACACCCGCTGTGTAGATGTTGTTCTCACTCTGCACAGGGCCTGGCAGGGGGTTGGCCCCATGTCTTCCTCCCTCCTTTTTTGCACCCCTTCCCTCCTTCCCGCCTTCCTCCAGGGCACACAGTCCTTGATCGTAAGTATGGACCCCCTGGAGAGGCGGAGGAGACCCCAAGGTCATTGAGACCCACCCCAGGCCGCTTCCAGCCAGCCTGTTTAATAGATTGACTCTATGAATAAATCATTCTGTAGCTGGGGCTGTGGATGTCCCACTGGCCCTACTGATGTGCCCTCTGTCCTCACGCCCCCAGTTATGATGAGCCCCTCCCTCCTTTTCCTCTTAGCTGTAGCTGGGTTGGAAATGTTCACCCTGGCTTCTCTGGCCACTGGCCATCCCCACTCCTCACAACCCCAGGTTTTCTCATTCAGCACCTCAGGCACAGTACTTCTGGAAGCACCAGGCCAGGCCCAGGCAGGATCTGTCTGGTGTGTGTGTGTGTGTGTGTGTGTGTGTGTGCACGCGCGTGCGTGCGCACGTGTGTGTCCGCGCGTGCCCCGCTCTCCACAGCCCTCAAGGGGGTGGGCAGGGTGGTAGACGAAGACTGTGACAGCAGCAGCCCTGAGCCTCCTGTGCCATGCTGTGATGAGGAGGGACCCCAGGAGCTGCTGATGGAGGGGCTTGAGGCCGATGTGCTCCCCCATATCCACATGGGGACACTGAGGCCCAGAGAGGGCTGGGACTGTGCTCAAGGTCACACAGTGAACTGAGGATTCTTGAGGCCGAGGATGTTCCAGCCTGTATTACAGACATGGACACTGTCCAGGTCTTGAGGTGCTTCGGGAGTCTGGAGGGTGGGGGGGCGGGTACAAACATTTCCTAGAGGATGAAATTTGCACTGAACCCCCAGAGGCACTCCTTTTATGAAAAGGCTTCAGGATCTCTCCCTGCCTGGCCGTCCATAAAAGCAGAAGCTGAGATGAAATGCAGATCCCACCAGTCCTGTGTTTTCAATATCAACATGAACAGGGCGTTTCCATCGGCAGCCCGTGACCCCCAGCCTGCCCTCCTCCTCCTCCCATCCGGGGCGCATTCTCCAGTCACCCATCTGGCTGCACGCACACCTACCCCAGCAGATGTGTGCAAATGCTCCTTCCAGAAATTAACAAATAATGCACGAGTTTCCCAAATTACACCCATTTAACACTGAATTAAGTTCTGGAAGCTCTTAACAGAGCCCTGGGAGGTAAGAAAAATTTTTTGTTCACACTTCCCTGGAAAATGAGACAAACCGTGATCTTTGAAAACCCAGCTACATAATCTGATTATTCCTCCCTGGCAAGCCTCAGAAAGATGCCCAGCAGAGGGAGGGGACGGCCAG